ACCACAACTTTGCGACCGTGCACGAGATCTCTTCAGACATTTCAAACCAGAGCTTATCAGAGAACGAGAGCCACACCTATCCTGAGATCACGAGCCCAACCTTTGTGACCATGAGCCTGAGCTCTTCTGAGTCATCAAACCACAACTTTGCGACCGTGCACGAGATTTATTCAGACACTTCAAACCAGAGCTTATCAGAGAACGAGAGCCACACCTATGCTGAGACCATGAACCAGACCTTTGTGACCGTGAGCCTGAGCTCTTCTGAGTCATCAAACCACAACTTTTCGACTGTTTACCAGATCTCTTCAGACACTTCAAACCACAGCCTGTCAGAGAACGAGAGCCACACCTATCCTGAGACCATGAACCAGACTCTTGCGACCGTGAGCCGGAGCTCTTCTGAGACGATAAAGCAAGGTTGGATTTGGACATCTGAGCCCATCTTACAGCTTGGCAAATGACCACATTGAAAATGAGCTGTGGGTGGGGCAAACAGGTCCTTCCGTCCTTCTCAGGCCTTCTTGGGGAGGCATTGAGGGCTATAAGCTCTCTTAGACTTAAGGAAACTTTTCATTCCACATACATTTTGCTCCTCTGCACTCCTGTTTATGGTCAGTGCAGCAGGCATCATGCAGGTTTGTGCAAAAGGGGAGCATGGAAATGTGGGAAATACTAATGCAGCACTGTGTCTCAGACACAGACACACAGTAAGTGTTATTCAGGACAAGACAGCTCCAAGCCTTCAAAATGACACCTGTAATCCTCCAGGCAGTGGAGCTCTGAATGCAGGAGTGTGTCAGGCCCACCTGCACGTAGTCATGGAGACGATCTCAAATCTTAAAATTAGTATTTTCTTGACTTCAGGATACCTTCAGCTATTGCTGTACTTCTGAGCCCCCATCCACATCCACTTCCTCACACCCATCGTCCATTCTTCCCTGCCCTGCAGCACTCAGGGCGGACTTCCTACGGGTCCCTGCTCCACTCCACGACTTTTGTCAGGTAGTCACCACGGGGCCGACTTCTTTCACCTTCTCATTGCCAACATTTTACTTGATATTTCAGATGCATTCAACAGCACTGGGAATTGAGCCTAAGATCTTGACACTGAGCTACATTGTCAGCCCTTTTGTTATCTTATATCTTGAAACAGGATCTCATTGAGTTGCTAAGTTGCCCAGGTTGGGCTCAAACTTGCAATCATCCTGCCTCAGCCTCCCAGAGTACACTCCCTGCTCTTTGAAACACTTTTCTCTCAGCTTCCCGGACCACACACTCTTGGTTTTCTCTCCTAGCCCATTGGTTGCTTCTTTGCTGTCTTTTTTATTCTACCTCTTCTCACATTTCAACTAATAAGCACTGGCATGTCCCAGGGCTGAGTCTTTGGACATTTTTTCTCTTTTCTGTGTGTGCTCACTTCCCAAGTAGTCTTCATCAGCCCCTTGCTTTGACATGCTACCAGGACATCGCTGACCTCTACGTTTTAACCTGGTGTCCAGCCCCAGTGTCTTACCTGAACTCCATACCTGAGACCCCTACTCATTACAGGATCATCAAGAGAGTTTCCTATGGACTTCTTTACTTGGATATTTAATGCAGAAGATACAGAGGCCACCAAGGGACTCTTCTATTAAACAAGCTTCTTTCATTTTTATTCATCTGGAATTTATTTATTTTCTTTCTTTTTTGTTTGTAGTCCAGGCTGGCCTCCAACTCGCGACAATCCTACGCTTCTTTCATGTCCTCCAAACTATCAACAAATCCTTTTGACTTCTCCTTTAAAGCAAGTCTCCGGCCTATTCTCTTCTTGCTACTTGCACAGCCTTAGTGTCTTTGCCCTCATCCGGTATACCACCATCTCTTGGGTTTTCTCTTTTTAAGTGACATATGAGCAGTGCACCTGTGTGTGCTGTGCAATACAAAGTTCAGGAATCTGCTGACTGGTTAGTTAGCATGAGTTTGACCTCATATCTTATTATTTTTTGTGGTGAGAAAATTTAAATCTATTTCAGCAGTGTTCAGGTGTGCAATGTATTGTTGTTCGCTTTGGTTACTGTCATGCTCAGTAGGTCTCTTCAACTTCTTCCTACCTACCTGAAATTCTGTATCATTTCACCAGCAGTTTCCCAGGTCCACGTCTGTCACTTTTGAGGCAGTTCCTAGCAAGACTTTCCGTTTCTCCACTCTTGCTCCCTGCAGTATTTATTTTCTTTTCCACAAGCAGCTGCAGTGATGTGTTAGAAACTCACCGTATCACTCTCCTGTTTAAAAGTACTTGCTGTTTCACTCAGAATTAAAAATCACCTTCTTGCCATATATCTTATATGATATGAACCTTTCTGTTGCTGACTTCTCTATTACACCACCCCATGTTCTTTCCACGATACTCACTCTAACCACTTTTCTTGCAAATAGGCAAAATCCTTTTCTGCTTCACTTAGCACTTACTGATCCCCCTGCTTGAGATACTTTGATCCTGTGTCATGATGTGGTTGCCTTCTTGTCATTCAGATCTTTTCATGACATTTCTTTCTCAGTCAGGCTTTCCCAGATGACCGAGGCTCAGTTCTCGTACTTGCAGATCCCTAATCTGTTCCACTGTCCTTGTGTCCATCATCCCTATCCTGCCCAATAAGTGTGTAAGGTCCAGGAGGATGTCAGCATGTCTTGTTCATGCTGTGTCTTGCACCTCTTCAACTCTGATATATAGGAAGAAGTGCTCTATAAATATGTGTTCATTTTAAGGACACTCATGGAGTCCTCCTGTGACGTCAGCGCTGTGCTGCCCACTGAGGATATAATGCAGAGTTTGGCTTTGATCTGGTGCTGACTTCTGACAGCGACTGTGGGAGACTCACATGGTTTGCCCAGTCCCCAGGCTGGGACAGTGTTGGGGAACACTGAACTTTAGGCAGGCATGCCGTTAGCACAGTTCCCTTTTCAGAGCATCCTGCTCCTCACCTGCTTACGTGCCCTCTGTCCCTCTGTCTGCAGTGAGGTTCTGGGTTCTTCCACCTGGGCAGGACCTCCCTCTGGCCCAGTCTACTCCTAGGAATGGAGCTGAGACTCAGGCTTCCCAAGAAAGCAGCAGCCATTCTCCAGAAGGCCCTTGTCAGGGCAGTTTACGCTTGTAATAGGGACCAAAGTTTGATACTAGGAGCCCCTCTTCTCAGTGAGGAGAGAGAACTGTTGCTCATTAACATGGACGTTAAGCCACCTGAGCTTGCAGCCCCTCTGCTGATAAAGGGAGTGGAGGAGGTGTGGCTGGGAGAGCCAGGAAGCCTTGCAGAATGGGCTGGGGGGTACCGGAGGCAGCTGGCAGCTCCTCAGAGACACCAGGAAAGGCCTGGAGATACTGCACTTAAGGGCTCTTGCTCCAAGCTTAGCTAGATGAAGCTGAAGAGTGAAACTGTGCATTTCAGACAGAGGATTGGGTCTGGGTCCATATAGAACTCTTGACCTTATCTGTGCTATTAAAGGCACTGGGTTTGGGTACAATCCAAGAGAAGGAAAGAACTGGAAGTTGAAAAATTATAGTCATTGGATAGGTCATAATGTATGTAGTAGAAATTTAGTTGAATGATGTTCAAGGTCTTTTTAAGTTTCCCACATTTCCATGCTTGTTATCATTTATAAGGAGTTGGTCTACATTAGCTCTTTCATTAGCATTCAGCACTGTCTCATGGGTCTTTTCCATAAAATTAATTATAACTGAAAAAAATCTAATACCCATAGCTAATAATTTTAATGTGACACCTTTCTATTCTTTCTTCTCTTTTTAAGAAGAAAACCTCGGTTTGCCATGCTCTAAAGATAACCCGAACTGGGTTTCAACATTTTGTAACCTTGAAGACATGAGCCAAACAATGCTGCAGGTAAGGGGGCTTTTGTTCTTCGATTCCTTCTTATGTAGAATATATACAACAGAAGATAAAGTGTAGTGTTCTTCAGTGTGTGGCTTAGAGACAATATCCACCAAAATCGGGTAAGGAGCTTGGAAAAGATACAGACTCTTGGGCTGGGGATTTAGCTCAGCGGCAAAAGCGCCTGCCTGGCAAGCGCAAGGTCATGAGTTCGGTTCCCGGTACCGGAGAAAAACCAAAAAAAAACCAAAAAACCAAAAAAACAAAAAAAAACAAAAAAGATACAGACTCTTAGGTGCCAACTTTAGCCGCTTGAGTCATAGTCTCCTATGCATCAGTGTCCGGAGCCTGCATTTCGCATGGGCTCCCCAGGTGCTGCTTATGCCAGAAGGGCTTTGAGAACCACTGATTTTAAGTGACAACAGTATGAACCAGCCCTGGTAGAGGTTAGTGGACGATTGAATGAATATTTCAATGCTAAAGTATAAGGATTCAAGTCCGTCTTTCTCAGTGACACGGAAGGTTGATAGTTCCTATCACCAAGAAAACTGGTGAGTTTAACTAAGGCAAAAGGCCACAAACTGACTGCCTTGACAGACCCTAGTCTGCTGAGTGAGACAGATAGGAACACGTATTTTGTGGCCTTTCTCACTCACTTTGGGTTTTGAGTGATTTTCCTTCTTTAAATCTTGATTTCTCTTTAAACTAGGTAAAAAGTATGTGTAGTTCACTGAGCTATAGTGAGAATAAAATCAAGTGGATATTGTAGAATTTCTAGTGCAGAAGTGATGAGCTCAGGCCCTTCCCCAATGGCTTGGCTGGCCATTTGCCACTGTGATTGTCACTCAGCATAATAGAGCCTGAGACAGGTGTTGGCTAGCTGAACCTTTGCAAACCTACTCAATACTGGAAGCAGAATTTCACTGACTGTTGGTATGGGAGTCATTTTTTAAATAAAGATCTTCCACAACTTATGGTGCAGTCACTTTTCAAGAAAGCCATCATTAAATTGAAAATATCTTAAGTACAAAATGCATTTAATAGATTTTCCCTACCAAACGTCACAACTTAGCCTAGCCGATGTTAAATGTATTTAGAAGACTTCCACTAGCAAATTGTTGTGCAGAATCACCTAACCCAAAGGCTATTTTATAATAAAGTGCTGAGTACTTCATGCAATTTGTTGAATACAGTGTGAGCATGCAATAGTTTCTCTTTAATGCCTGTCCCTTTTGCACCTTCATCAAGCTGAAAAACCCTAAGTTGAATCGTTGTAACCTGGGCACTACCTGTACTTCATGTTACACCAGTGTGCCGGTGAGTGTGGGGCCATCCTTCTGCCTTTCCAGCAACAGACTCCCTCGCTTTCAATTCAGTTCAGTTCACTTCAGTTCATTTCATTTCCTTTCATTTCATCTCATCTCATCTCATCTCATCTCATCTCATCTCATCTCATCTCATCTCATCATCTCATCTCATCTCATCTCATCTCATCTCATCTCATCTCATCTCATCTCTTCTCATTTCATTTATCTCTGGTACTGAGGATGAAACTGAGGGTCTGGTGCTTGCTAGCCAGGCAGTCTACAGTTGAGCTGCAGCCCCCACCCCAGCATTACCTCACTTTTGTTAAGGAGATTTTGTTTTTAGAGATCATATGCACAAATGTTTACAGTGAGGCCTCCAAATGTGCTACATGAAATCCTGTTACTAATCTTATAAACCCTGGTGCTGGTTTGAAATATTTTAGGAGCCAGACATGGTGTAACTATATCTTGCAGAAATAGTTACGTTCACGAGTGCAGAATGTATAATATTACGCTGGGAGAAATCAGAATGTCTCCAGGAACTCTGTCCCCTCCACTTTTGTTCTCCCTTGGGCTTTAGCAGCTTCCTTGGAAAAACCTGTACATTCCTATCGACAAATGCGCTAGCTTGGGCTGCTAATTACAGCTGACCTCAAGCAGAGAGATGGATAGCTCAGGGAATCCAGGAAGAGGGGCAGAAGTAGGCTGCTTCTCTTCACTTATTATTTAGAGCAGGGCTTTGGCCACCCCTGAAGCATGAACACAGAGTGTGGGGAGAGGGGAAGAGCAACGTTTGCTTCTTGGGCCCTGGCATGGCTATGCCCAACTTAACAATGGTTATGGTTAATGATTTTTCCCCTTATGATGAAGCAAATGTGCTACACCCCCAGGAGAAAACATATGTCTTTGTTACTTGTTGCTGGGACAAAATAGCAGGTGCCCAGAATTGAAGGTGGGAAGGTGCACACAGTTTGTAGAGGTTCCAGTCCATAGTCACCTGGCTCCAAGGCAGGTCACCATGGCAGAGGGGCATTACAGAGGAGAAACAGTCCATGGCTTGGCAGGCAGAAGGCAGCAGCAGCAAGCAACAGCAGCAGCCTTTCTGTCCCTTTACAGTCCATCCAGGCTACTAGCCTGTTGACTAGTGCCACTCACACCATTATCTATCCCCTTAATCCCGATATCACAGCCTCAATCCACATTCAACACCCGGGCCCAGCCAACTTTGAAACTCCCCGCCTATGACCACATGAGGTTTTGGGGTATACATCTAGATGCAACGTATAACACCATACTTTGAATTTTTAAAATTTTCGATGTTGGAGATGGACCTGAGAGCCATGTGAATGCTAACCAGGCACACTACTGCCCAGCTGCACTCCTGCTCCACTGTGAATTTTCATCTTTTCTCCAGCCAGTAACATTGGATGAGACACTCTTGCACCTACCAGCTAGCACAGCTCCAAGTCAGCCACACAGTCACAGAAGTAAACTTAAAAGAATACATATAGCACATATTTACAGTTTAAATAGTGAAGATAATACCAATCTTAATAAATAGATCATTAACAGATCCTTGGACACCTCTTTCCTATAACCTTCCTCTTCCTCACCATTGCCTGAATTTTGTTTCAATCATTCCTTGCCTTTTCTTTGAATTTTTAGGACCTGTATAAATATGTCTACATGCTATAGTTTTGTTTTTCATGTTTTTGACCTTTATTTGAATGGGATGATATTGCATGTGCTCTTCTGTGACTTGATTTTTAAAAATTTTTTATTAAATGTCATTTAATAAAATGGTTTCATTTATTGTGGAAAGTTGGTACATGTACACAACATATTTTAATTGTTTTTTTTTTCCTCCCCTGTCCCTCCCATCCTTCTCTCCTCCTTCCAACTCACAGTCCCCTTCCATTTGCAAAAGCTCTATTTCCATTGTTTTCAATTCTTTCTTTCTATCCCCTTTCCCCACCCTCCATTTCTTCTTCCCTCATGTTTTTGATAACATTTTTTTGCAGCTTGGTCCATGATGCTGCATGAGACTAGTGCATTCATTTTACCCCTAAACTGTTGTAAGAATGCCCCATATAGTTCTGTACCCATTCTGCTATTGATGGAAACTGGGAAGCTCTTTTAGTTTGTGCTCCCCAGAACACTTGAGAACGAAGCAGAGTTCACAGGCCAAGGTTTCAGCAGGCTGTGCAATCTCATGACAGTGAGTGTGAGGGAAAAGAAAAGTAAGGCAGGGAAAGGCAGAAAAGGAATGTAAGGTGGTTGCTTACCAAGTTGTATATGGGTTCGCAAGAACACACAGCTGGTTGTCAGTCACTTGAGACACCTTGCAGTTAAATTGGGTAAAGCCACAACTTGAGAAAGAGTCTATGCAGGAGGAAGGCCAAAAATTCTACCTACCCATTGCATTCTAACCTCATTAGTCAGAGGTTACATGAAAGTGACTCTTTTGCAGTATGAGACCCTTTGGGGGGACTCAGCAGAATATGTAGATCCCAAGCCCTGAAGTAGATGAGGGTGTGGTTTTAGAAATCCAGTCACGGGATGGATGCCGAAGCCTGTCCTGCGGTGGCACTAGGAGGCTGCAGACCCCTCCCTTTGAATGGGGAAGCTTGGTGAGGAGGTACCCACAGTGAGGCTGGCCCCACAGTGAGGCTGGCCCCACAGCGAGGCTGGAGGAAGTGCAGGTTTCTGTTGTAGTGAGAAGTGCAGTTTGCAACATTGTTCTCCATGTACCCTGTTGGATATGAACAAGAGCGTTTCTAGGTGAAATTGCTGGAGGCAGGGTGGGATGCTAAGATGGATGCCCTCTACCCAGTAATGACGAATTATTTTACAGATGATTATGTTGATTGACACCCTCAGTGGTAGTGGATGAAGGCTGTTTTTGAGACGTTGTTGTGCTTTGTTCTTTTTCTGCCCTGCTGAGGGTGGAACCCATCCGGTGCCAGGCAAGGACGGTGCCACTGCGCTACACCCGAGCCTCCGAATACAAGTTCTTATTGTTCCACATTGTTTGTAACAATTCTGCTTGCCCGATTTTTCAGTTTGGTTAATCTGGTGGGAATAGAATTGTATCTTCTTGTGCCAGTAATATTTTCCTTGTTGCAAATGACACACGTTTTGAGGCCTTTGTGTTTCCTCTTTCATGAGATAATTGTAGCTTTCCTTGGTTTCTTATTGGATTGTTCTTAGTGTTTTACAATGAAGACTCTTCAATGATGTCCTTTTACATGGCTCTTTATAACCATTTCTTTTCTTGACTATTTTGTATTTTTTGTTACTATTGTAACACTACATATTTGTGTGGTGCAGTGTGATAATTCCTTAAATGTATACAATGTATAATTATCACATCAGGTAGTTTCCATATTCTTAAAGATCACACAGTTTCTCTTACATGAGAAACCGAAAAGATAAATGAATACCAGAATAAGAGATAAATAAAAAAGTGGAGAGATTATAGATCATTTTCAAATGGGGGTATCAAGAAATGGAGAAAAGGGAGAGGAAGAGGAGAGAAAGGAGATGAAAAGAGGAAGGAGGTGTGCTCTCCACACGCACCAACTCCCCACGAGGAAAGCGATCACGATGTGCTGAGGACATGGACTCATAAAAAGTAAGAACTGAAAAAGAGATAGCAGAAGAAAGGGAGATAGTACTTTTGCAGAAGGGAAGGGGGTCAAGATGGAGGGGGAGTGAGAGGAAGGGAAGAGGATGAACAGAGGAATGAAGAGATGTGTTCTGCACATGTACTAACTCGTCACAAGGACTAATAAAAAATACAAACCAAGTAAAAAAGACAAGTTCTTAATTTTAAAGTAATGTTATCAGTCAAAAGGCACATAATTTCTTCTTTAGGAAATCCTAAACTACTGCAAGGTAACAAGTATATTCTCTTACATTTTATTTTGAAGGCTTGGACATTTTACCTTTAACAGTTATTATCTAAATACATTTTGAGTTCATTTTTGTGCATGGTATATGTATCCTCTGAGGGCAAGACTGTGCAAAGCTAATGTATTAATCAGTTCTTGGGTGCTATAATAAAAAACATAAGGCTAGGTACAGTATAAAGAAAAGGTCTCCAGGGCAAAGATTTGGAGTCTAAAAGTCCAAGATCAGGTGGCTGTATCAACCCAGCCTGTGGTGAGGGCTACCTTGGCAGTGTCAGGTGTGGATGGCAGTGCAGTGGTGGAAGTCTTAAGAGAGGACACGACACAGAAGCATCAGAGATTCAGCAACCAGGCTTATGTTTTTATATCAGTTCCTTCTTCCAGAAACTAGCTGGGGTCCCACAAGAACTAGGTACATGAATCCCTTCCGAGGTCAGTGCCCCCCATGACCAAATCACCTTACACATTGAGGCCACCTTTTGGACCTTTGGGAGACGCACCATATCCAAGTTGTAGCACATAGTAAGGGAATACTTGAAACTGCTGGTTCTGTTCTTTCATGAATATGCTAGTGTTCACATTTGCGGGTTTTCATGAGACAATTTTCGTAACTTATCCTCTGCTAAGAATTTATCTGTGTCATTGCTTTCAATTTTATTGGCCAGAAAGTGCTCTTAATATGCTTTTGTTCTGTCTGCAGTGGCTTTTCTCTGCTAATACTACTTGTGCTTTCCAGCATGATCATCTTACCTGGGGTTCTGACAATGTTGCCGTTCTTTTCTAACAGTTGATTTTCAAACTTCTTGATTCTTTCTTCCTTTGTGACTTTATGTTTCTTTTCAGTATTTTCTTCTCTCACGTTTATTATTTACTTTTACTTTTTGGGTTCCTTCATTTGTTCTCTGCCTAACCATTTTACATTCCATTGATTTGTAGCCATGTTTTCTTTTCTCATATATACATTTAAGGACAAAGTCTTCAAAATGTTTGGCCGCATTGTAGGTGCATCGCTAAGTAGGCTTTAAAAAATTATTCCATTCTGAATATTTTATAATCTCCATGATGATTTCTTCTTTGGGCTATTATTTTCTATTGTGGTTAAATATATGTAACTTAAAACGTACCACTTCCCTATTTTTTATAATAGAGTTCAGGGAATGAAGACCATTCATGTGACTGTGTAACTATCCACTGTCTGCTGTCCACTCTCCACTCCAGAACTTTAAAAATCTGTCATTCCCAAAACTGTGCCCATTAAAGAAGAAGCTCCCATCACTGCCTCTCTGAGCCCCCAAGAGCCGTGGTCCCGCCCTTTTCTATGACTTTGGCTTCTCTGGGAACTTCATGTCATAGGATCATGCCGTGGAATTTCATTCCTGCTTCTCTCACTGAGCAGAGGACCTTTGTGCTTCATCTGTGTGCTGGCATGTGGCAGCATTTTTTTCCTTTTAAGGCCAAATAACATTCACTTCTCCATCCATCTGCCAGACATTTGGATTATATATTAATTCATTCTGTTTCTATACCAAAACACCAGGGAACTGGTGGGAACTTTATAAAGAAAAGAGTTTATTTAGCTCACAGTTTTGGAGGCTGACAGGCCAATATCCAGTGACCTTATCAATGTGGCTCTGTTTGTGGGTCCCCTGGGCTGCCTCACATACCAGATGACACCATAGGGAGACATAGGAGGGGCCAGTCTTGTTCATTGGTAGCAGCTGTCTTCTGAGAACTCCTTCCATTCATTCCTTCTGAAGGCAGCACTCCCAGTGACCCAGTGGCCTCCCATGAGGCCTTGCCTCTTACAGGGCCCCCACTTCTCACACTTCCACACCAGGAACCATGCTTGCAACACATGAACTCTTGCAGAACAAATCACAAGCAAGCCATTTCAAACTGCATTGACCTTTTGGCCCTTGCGAATAACACCGCTGTGAACGCAGGTGGACGCATAACTAGTTGAGTTCTGCTTTCAGTTCTTGGAGGCACACCCAGAAGCAGAACTGCTGGATCATATGATAACTGTGTTTACTTTCCTTCAGGAACTGCAGTAATGTTTTCCACAGCAGCTCCATCATTTATCCTTCTCACATCCTTCTCAATAGCCTGTTATGTTCTGTTTCCTTTTGTAATGACTCTTGAACCACATGAGGGATCCTCCTCACAGTTATTTGGGCTTCCTGAATCTGAAGATCAGTGTACTTTGTGACTTCTGTAAAAATTACAGCCTGGATCTAATTGAGTTTTTGCCTCTTGTCTTGCTGTAGAACTTTGATAGCACATATACCAGCCTTTCTCACTCTCCACGAAATTTAATTTCTTTTATTTTCCATGTCTAAGTCTCCTTGTTAACACTCTGAGTCTTCAGCTGTCTTCTTGTTCAAAACTTTTACCAGCTGTGTTCTGATGTGCTGTTTAGCCTATATAGTATGTTTCTCTTTCCCGGCTGGGTGTAGTGGCGCATGCTTGTAATCCTAGCACTTGAGAGGCTGAGGCAGGAGGATCGTTGCGAGTTCGAGACCAGCCTGGGTTACAAAGTGAGCTCAAGGTGAACTGCATAAGGAGACCCTGTCTCAGAGAGACAAAAACAGTTTCTCTTTCCTTCTTCCTCTCCTCCCCTCCCCTCCTGTCCCCTCTCCTCTTACTTTTTTTTTTTTCTTTTCAGTGCATTCTACCACTGAGCTGCATCTTCAGGCCCTGAGTTTTTATTTCTGATCACAATGTCATTTGTAGACATTTGTTTATGTTTTGCGTCTCTCTGGCAAGTTTTAAGCCTCTTGTTCCTTCAAATTCAATATCCTTCCTTATTTATTTACATAAATTAAGCATACTATACTTACTTTATATTCCATTATGTGCTTTTCTGAATCTGATTTTGCATTTTATTATTGCCATAATAATAAATATTGCCTCTCATTCATAATGGTTCTTTCATCTCTTCCTGTGTTTATTTTTTTTACCTGTAAGCTCATATTATTTGTAATTTAAGCTGCATAAATCATTTGAACTCTTGTTTTAAAATAATTCTCTAAAGGTGTCTTTGATTGTTTTCTTAGATACAGCCAGGGTCGGGATGACTATAAAGCAGATAGGAGAGTTAGTCGTTGGGTAGTGTCTGCATTTCAGCTCCACATGAGTGGGAATGTGGGCTTCTGTGTAGTGTTGCCTAAGGGAGACTGTTTTCTTGTTTCCTAGTCTTATAGCTGGAGCTGAGGTAGGAGCACACTTTCCCTGTCTCTTGTTGCTGGATAAGGTATTTCTGTTTCATCTGCTGAAACTGTCACCCTTAAGGACACCTGGCTGTCTACCATGGTCCCTGACTTCTCCTTCCAACTTACACAAGTCCTAGCTTTCTTTTCTGTCCCCCACATTCTAGGTCATCACTATCGAATGGATGTTTCCAGCCAGGCACTGGTTCCAGAATGTCCTTATGTCTCAGTTCCCTTCCTCTTCTAAACCATAAGCTTGGTCCAATTTGAAAACTAAGTTTTTACATAGTTTATCATTTTAGATGTTCTACCAGGAGGCATAGACATCAAATCCATTCACAGCAGGGAGGTCGCGACAATATCCGTATTTATAAGTAGACGACTAACCACAAATAAAAGTGCCCTTAAATATTCTTAACATTTCTGAAATTAAGTCTGCTTAAAATGAAACAAACTACACATGGAAATGAGTTTCCCTAGCTTGTGTTGGAGAAGATTGTGCTAATTGGCTGTACATTGAACTTTGTGTTGTCTAAATGACATAGCATGTGATAAGCATCTCATGCTTAAGGTTAAATAGATTCTGTGTAGGAGGCAAAATAATGGAATTTTAATTGCATATGTGCCTACTTTATTGTTATGTAGAAAATACAATACATTTTGAGTATTCTATTATAATTATGCTTCAGAAATTAAGGCGTCATTTTATTATTGTTGCACCATTTAATTACATCATTCTCTTTCATTAGGCTTTGGACGCCGCTATGATTGTACTGAGTACCGATGGAGTGATCTATTTCGTGACTGAAAACATCACAACTCTCCTTGGCTATTTATCAGTAAGTTCTTTCCGTATCTGGGAAAGCAGATCGTTCGGCTTTGTTGTCCAGGGGTTATTATTTCTTTCTGGGGCACATGACACAGAGAAGGTGTTCTTAGTGTTCTCGGAATGTGCTCCTGTTTTATTGTCATGGGCACTGGTTTCAGTTTTCAATCTATAGGCGAAGTAATGAAGCATATTTTCCTTTCGTGGTTTCAAAGTTGCCCTTGTAGGCAGTCCCTAAATAAGCGGGTGCTTATTGAAATAGCAGTCACTTAGAATCAGTGGAGAGGGGCCAGAATGACAACCGTGAGAAGAGGCATCCTTCACTGAGATAGATGTGTCGTGGGGTGGTGTTTGATTTTGTATATTTTAGGGTCCGTTACATAATGAATCAACAAAGAAAGCCATGATTTGTTTATCCTGCCTCATCGGTCTAATTTGAGGTGGGTGATTTTTTGGTATCTTTCTGTTGAATAACAAATTACTATCTAGTTTAGAAAAATAATGTAGAAACAGTTGCACAGCTTAACAATATCATAAGTGTCACCAGAGACACCTACACATTAGTTGTGCTTGGGGTCTGTGATGTCCAGAAATGTTCACTTGTTCCTGAGCCCCGTGGTGGTGTGGTGTCTGTCTCAGCAAAGCTCTGTCCATCCTCATAGCACTTCTGAGGTGGAATATATGATTTCCTACTGTTTTAACTGGATCTTCAAGCTGTACACCTAAGAAACATGTTATTTAAATATTACAGTACTACCCTCCTGTCTTGATGTATTTTTATTTATTTATTTAGGGTTTTTTTTCTGGTACTGGGAATCGAACTCACGACCTTGTGCTTGCCAGGCAGGTGCTGTGCCACTGAGCTAAATCCCCAGCCCTTGTCTTGGTGTATTTTGGAAGCCCATTCATTCTGTGGTTCATAGACAGCTTTCTCCTGGCTGTGTCCACATACCATGGAAGAGACAAGAGAGATCTTTGGGGTTTCTTTTATTAGAACACTAATCCTATACTTGAACGCTCTGTCCTCATGACTGAATCACCCTCAAATGCTCCACTTAAAATACCATCACACTGAAGGTTAGCTTTCAACATACAGATTTTAGGGGAACAAACAGTCTATAGCTGTGCCTTCGTGTTCCACTTATGCCTGTGTATGAAGATCATGCAGGTTACATCCATTGCAGATAACCCTCTCCCACAAAGTCTGTGTCACTGGTGGAGTTATGTTAATCTTATTTGGGTGGTGGTCTTCATTTTATAACTATTCCTCCACAGAATTTTCTTGAGAGTTTAACAAAACCTGAACTAGCATCCATAGGACTCAATTTTTCACTATAGAAATAGAAACTTGGCTTGACATTATTGTAGTTATGATGGAAGTGGATTCAAAGCTTATTCTACTAGTTAAACTGTACAAGTGAGCATGACCATCTTGGAAACTCACAATACATTTTATACCATTTTGTTGTAATTTATAGGTACTGGAACCTATTTCTTCTGTTTCTCATTCTTTGCCTTTCTTTAAAAAATAGTTTACATTTCCAGATTCTGCTTATATTTCCAGAATACTAAGACAGCTAAGTGACTTGCAAATATGATATTTATTGAATTGGACTTGAGAATATTTATATCATAGTAAAAGAAAGGTGTTAGTACATCTACATTAAAGATGGAATGTGATAATGATCTGATATAGCTTAAATTTTATTACAATGAAGGTCAGAAAACTCCCCAAATTTTATGGCAGCTGGTATAAGTTAAACCAAATTCTTTGTTGACAGAGATTGGTGACTTTTTCTTATTACATGAGGATTTCTCCTAGTGATGATGTTAGTTAAAATAGTGTCTTGATTTTCTCATGATACCTGGTTCAAACTTTCCCTTTGAAGAGCCTCTTTCACCCTTCAACATTTGAGGTACCACACACACAGAGACACACACAGTCCTAGTCACTATAAGTAAAAATATCTGGGACATGTGCTTTGAACTGCTGACCTTAAAACATAGACTTGATTATCTGAGGCTGCTGTTTTTAAAAATAAAGATATAATGATTAAATTTGTACATAAACATTAAATGGGAATAAAGTTGTATATTCTTCAGACAGGGTTAACTTGAGCACCATTTCACATCTTCCTGTTAAACTCTAACAATTCTTAATTTTTAACATAGGCATTTTCCAGGTTTTGGTCAGATATTTCACTTTGGAGCTCTTCCTTTTTAAATCAATATGGTATGCTGAATCATTTCTAAAGGTTTTCCTTGGCTCCAGGAATCAACAATTTCTTTAAATGTCTAGGTGGTTCTCTCTGTAGGGCAACTCTAAACACATAAATTATCTAGAGATTAAAATTGAGCTAGGCTGGGTGCGGTGGCACATGCCTGTAATCCCAGCACTTGGGAAGCTGAAGCAGGAGGATTGTTGTGAGTTCAAGGCCAGCCTGAACTGCATATTGAAACCCTGTCTCAAAAAGGCAAAAAATAAATAAATAAATAAATAAATAAATAAATAAATAAATAAATAAAATTGAGCTCAATCACTCAGTAATTCCTTCAACTTTAGTTCCTCATCTGGAAGTGAGGAAGAGGTATCACTAAGACAGTGCTAGGAGGCAGGCTGCTGTATACAGTGTGTTCTGGGAAGGCCTGTCTGATTACGTGATGTTTGAGCACAGGCCCGAATGGAGTGAGTGTGTGTTTCATGCAGTAACTGGTGCAAGTGCATTCTAGACAGAGGACAGAGCACGGAGAAAGGTCTAGGAACAAGGATGTGTTTGATGTGGAAAAGTTTGAGCAGCAAGGCCAGTGCGACGACTGTAGTGAGCAAAAGGAGGAGAACTAGGAGAGGACGAGACTACAAGAGCAGTGTCTTACTTACTTTTCTTGTTGTTGAGACAAAAATACCCAATGCCCAAAGTTAAAGGAGGAAAGGTTATTGTAGTTCAAAGTTTGTAGTGATCTCAGTCCACAGTTGGCTGGCTCCAAGGCAGGGCGGCACATGGCAGAGGGGCATCACAGAAGAGAAATAGTTTATAGCAGACAGAAGACAGCAAAGCAGCGAAGTAGCAAGCAGCAAGTGATAAGCGACAACAGCAGCCCTCTTCTTGTCCCTTGTATTCTATCCAGGCTACCTACTCTAATTTATACCCGGGGGGGTCACCCTTAATCCTAGCATTGCACCATGAATCAATCTTAGCATCACATCCTTAATCCAAGCATCACACACTCTAGGTCCAACCACCTCCAAAAAGCTCCACCTGCGACCACGTGAGGCTTGGTGGGGGCATCTAGACACAAGCCATAACAAGTAGCAAGAATTCACCTTCTATCTGACTACTGCCTTCCCTCTGAGATGAAATGGAGGCATTGAGGGGGGTGGAGCCATTGCGGTAATGACCTGACTTAAGTTTTGTGATACCTTGGCCCATGTGTTCAGAATTTTCTGTGCGGAGCAGGAATGAAAAGGCAGAGTCCACTTGGAAACAATTGGCTATTCTGAGCAATAGATAGTGGTGAATTGGATAGGATTGGAAGTAGAAGTATTTTGTAGGTAAAATACACTTTGCTGATGGATTGGGAGGGAATATGGCATGAAGGTAAGGGTGTAAAGAGTCCAAATTAGGATGTTATAACACTTGTCGTGAATTGATTGATGTCCACTATTACCATCATAGTTTTAAATGTGTATCTGAAATTTGCCCTCATGTTTTCCCAATCATTCATTCCCTTGACAGTTTTTCCTTTGGAAAAACGTGTGGAAACTTGTAGTTCAGTGTAATCACTACCTGGATCTTAGGTGCCTCTCCACCTGCTCGCCTTGCTTCATCGCACCTTTGAAAAAACTAAACTGTGGGAATTCTCCTTTGTGATTATTCAGCAAATGCAATTTCTAGTAATTTAATAGTACACTTCGTGGAAAGTTTTTCAGCACTGAAATTTCAGTGGAAGAGAACTGGGCAAGTTTTGTACATGAATATATCTTTAATTTGTGACAGTTGTGAACAGATTTGCCCTGTTTTTCTTGAGCTCACAGCACGGCAGGGAATTACTAGTGTTGCATCTTTTGATTGATTGATTGATCAGTTGATTGGTTTTTGAGACAGGGTGTTACTCTATACTTCAGGCTGTCCTTACATTCACTGGGTAACCCAAGTTGGCCTCAAACTCGTGGGCATCCTTCTGCTTCAGCCTCCCGAGTGCTGGGATGACAGCACTGCATCATGATGCCCACCAGGGATGAATCTCATTTGATCTGAGACCCAGCCTGGATCTCCTGCAGTGGTTTTATCCTTCGGATTCTCAGTAAATGTCATAGACTCGGGTAAATTCCTTTCTTCTGTTTTTGGCATCACTGAGACCGTAATAATATTTGTGTGACAACTAATAGGTATTCAGACTTGGCTTTTAACAATAAGTCCTTAATTTTCCTCTGGTATTTATCCTTGCTTCATTAAGCTCTATGCACCTTGATCATTCTGCCTTGTGTAATAAGAAGAGCAAAAGCCAAAGATTTACAAAAATAACAAGAAATTGATAGTGGTTTCAGGTCTCTGCCCTGTAACTAAGAAGCAAGGTCACTGGAATGACGGTTGGCTCTGCTGTTTTAGTTGGTGATTTATTATAGAGCTTACTGTCACAGTTCTTATTGACAAGAAACTCACTGATTCTCCTCATCCATATGAGTGTAGACTGTGAAACGACAGCTCACTTTGAATTATCTTAAGTGACAGTGCTACCTTTTCTTTCAATAATGAAGGAAGTGAGACACAGTGCTGTGCACCTCTTGTTTTGGCCCTGTTTCATATCTTATCACAATTTTTCTGCGTACCCTAACTTCCCTGCTTGACTATGCACTCATTTGAGTTATAATTCATGCAGGCTCATCTTCTGTAACTTTTTCAAGTACACAGTATAAAAGTTTAGATACATGAGTTCATGCAGAATCCCCAAAATGAAGAAAATCTTGTAGTAGCGAATTTTCTGGCCTTGGTACTATCTAGACTTGAGGAAGCTATGCAGTGGTAGAAACACTGAGTTGGATGGCACTTGTGTGCAAATCCCATTTCTGCATTCCTGAATTCCCAATGGTTAGACAAGCCTTACTTTCCTCATGATTAGGGTAGGGGCTAATTTCTTCCCTAGCAGGGTACTCAGTGAGCTAGTATGCATGTGAACATACCTCGTACAATGTCAGGCTTGGAGTGTGTGCTTTATCATTTGTTACATGAGGTAGATGGTAGATAGATGGAAGGATGGGTGGGTAGGTGGGTGGCCTTCACTGATCAGAAGTAACTTGCTTTGTTATCTAAATTGTATTTTAAAACTAAATCAATAAAAGTTTAAGTTTAATGGAAAGAAATCTGCATATCTTTTGGGACAGCAATAATTTATGGTGTGACTTTCTCTGTCATTTTTTTTGCTAAATTAGGGTAATATTTCTATCCTGAGTCAAGCCAAGCTTTTTCTTGATTGAGGTGGGATCCATCTGCTTATTTGAGTGTTGGCCAACTTGTAGTCTGCTTCTACAAATGGGCTATAAAGATATATTTCTAAATATTGATTGCAGATGATTGATACTGATCGGTTTAAAAACTATTTTTAATTTTTAGTTCACTAGCCAAAGCCATTATTAAGCTACAGAGAATATTATTTTGTTTCTATCACATTAAAAACTCATTACTTCTGTGTCTGATATTCAGTTTATTCATGTGTCACCATATTTCAGCTACATAGTAATGTATTATTTAGTCATTCAACTGATATATATTGAGTGTTAACTTATGCCAAGCTGTGTTCTAGTTATTCAGGGTGCAGCAGTGAATAAGACAAACAAGGTCTCTGTTCTAACACAATTTATATTTCAATAGAGAGATAGAAAATAAACAGGTAGCAAAATGACAGTGAATCACTATCAGAGACCGTATTATTTAAAAAGCTTGAGAGACAAAATATAGAGTATATTTTATAGGCCAATGGCAAGCAGGTAGGTAATTGGTGGTGCCATTTACCTAAAAAAGGGAGGAACATTTTTTCTCAAGGGAAAATATCAGATTTCTGTTGCATATATTAAAATGGAACTCCTATCAGACAGCCAAGTTGAGTTTTCTTGTGGGTAGAAGTCCAGAAGAATTCAGGGAGAAGTTTAGACCCTAGAACTGGGTAGTCATCAACAGATGATAGGGAGTCATGTAATGAGATGGAGATGGAAAAGATGAACTTGGGAGACACGATAGTAAGAGAAGAGATCCAGTGACTAAACCCTGAGCATTACAGTTGCTGGTAGCCAGAAAAAGAGGAAGATCCAGCAGATAAAATTATGCAAGTGTGGCCTTTGAGGTAGAAGGATGTCCGCATGTGTGTGGTATCCTGGGATCCAAGTGAAGAAAGTATTTCGGCACTCATTCTGTTTGTCTTTTTCATAACAACCATTCTCATTGTGGTAAGGTGGTATCTCATTGTGGTTTTAATTTGCATTTCCCTAATGATCAGTGATATTGAGCATTTTTCTTTGTGCACTGTTGATGGGAAAATAAAACAGTATTACCTTTGTAGAAACAGTTTGGAGGTTTGTCCAAAAGCTAAAGCCTGAACCACTATACACCCAGAAATCCTACTGCTGGGTATATACCCAAAGGAAATGGTACGTGTCAAAAAGACACCTGCAATCCCCCATACTGGTGCACTATTCACAATAACCAAGACAAGGAAGGAGCTTAAATGTCCATGAACAGACACATGGATAAAGAAAGTATGGCCCATACACGATGGGACATTACTCAGCCATAAAAAGAATAAAATCCTGCTACTTGTGACAACATGGGTGGACTTAGAGGACATTATGTTAAGTAAAATAAGTCAAGCACAGAGCAAAAGCACCACATGATCTGACTCACATGTGGGATCTGCAAATGTTGAGCTCATAGAGGTTGAGAGCAGAAGCTGCGGACAGAGGAAGAAAGGAGGAGAGGGAGCAGTCAATCATTGAGTACACTGTTATTGTGTGATAAGGTGTTATGATTGTGTCTAGCTGTCCCTCCAAAGCCTCATGAGGTCATAGAACTATTTTAGAGGTGGCTGAATCTAGATATGTGATGCTGGGATTAAGGACATGTGATTAGTAAATCAGTCCACTGATTGTTTTGGCATAGTTCTGGCTAGGATTAAAAGTGTGAGTGCTACATCTGCCCTAGGGCAGGTAGCCTGCTTACAATATAAGGGACACAAAAAGTCTTGTCTCCACCTCTCTTGTTGCTTTTGTTGTTTTCTGCCACCATGATTGGTTGCCTCCTCTGCCATCTGCCATCCTGCCTTGGAGCCAGCCAATTATGGACTGAAACCTCTACAAACTTTGAGCTAAATAAACCTTTTCCCCTTTAATTTTGGGTGTCAGGCATTTTGTCTCAACAATGAGAAAAATAACTAAAGACATAGGGGAAATAAGTACCAGTGTCCTAGGGTGACTGCAGATTACAACAATGCACTATGTATCTCAAAATACAAGGGAAGAAATTTGAGTGTATTCATTATACAGTAAGGATAAAAGGTTAAAGTGATGGCCGTGCTAATTACCTTGAGTTGATCACTATCCAGTGTGTATATGAATTAAAACATCACATTGTATAAATGTGTACAAATATAATGTGTCAGTCTAAAACTAAGTGATAAAAGTTAATAAAACAAAGGATGAGGGATCATTTGCTGCAAACGCTGAGCCATCAGGTAAGATGAGGGCTGAGAACGGATTTGACAATATGCAGGTCAGTGGAGATCAGGACTGAAGCATTTTCAGTGGAGTGATTAGGGTAAAGACTTGCTCAGTTTCCAGGAAGAGTGATAAGGGAAGAAAGGGGAGATGGCCAAGTATAATTCATTACAGGATTTTTATTTCCAAGTAGCCCAGATAAATGGAGCTATAGTTGCAGGAGAGAAGGTAGTGTCAAGGGAGATTTCGAGCTTTTAGAATTTTGTGTGGCTTTTACTTCTAGGGTTGTTGATATTATAGCATGTATAATAGAGGGTTTGCATGCTTGTGGAAAGACCCAGTAGAAACAGAAAACTCGATGATACAGGAAGCAGGGCTGTTTCTGGAACAGGATCTTTGAAAAGCCAGGAGAAAACAGGGCAGCATGCACAAGTGAAGGTGTTAGTGTTTGGTGGGCCCTTATTTATTGGATTAGGAAGGAAAGCAGATTTCTCGGGAGAGGAATACATACGTTGGTAGATTTGGGGGCAGGGCGATGTTGACATTTCTTTTTCCTTTTCTGAGTGAAATGAATGAAGTCAGCTGAAAATACTATGGAGGGCTAGAGGTTTGGAAGTTTGAAGGGGAAAAAGACAAGAAATAGTCACACTGAAGAGTAGATGGATGAATTATGGGAAATGTTTTTGGGCAGGTTTCAGTACCCAGCATACCACGTAATAAGAGTTTTTTTATTTTTTTCCATGCACATTCATTTACTTTGGTGAAGGTGTCGGGTGGATGAAGAGCTGGAAGTATCCAGAGTTGTGATTTTCCCTGGCAGATATGACAGAGGGAAAGAACCCATGGGAATGATTGTAGTGGTCATGGAATCTTAGCTGGTCAGGGATGAACGAGACTATTTGAGGGAGACAGCAGATAATGAAAATACAAAATAAATGGACTGGAGGCCCCTGGGCAGAGTAACTGTTGGAGAGGTGGGTACTTGCATGAGCACATTGGAGGGATAAGGGTGCCGGCCACAGAGGGGACAGTGTCGCCGTGTGAGGTACAACAGGTGTCATCACAGATGGCTGAAGTGGGCAGCATCTAAATTTACTGGAGGTGAGGCGAAGGGGGGAAATGGCCAGTACTAGCACATAGGATAAAATGTGTTTCCTCCTCCTCCCTCATCTGTCCATCTCCCTCTCTCTCTCCCTCCCCATCTGCCTCTTCCCAGTACGAGGTCATGGGCAGAAAATTATTGGGCTTTCTGCCCGATGAAGAGAAAAACGAAGTCTACCAGAAGATTAGCATGAAAACTCCTGTATCTGACTCAGGTACAGAATTTTTTTTCAAATACTGAATTCTTAGGTTTTAAAAGGCAAGGAACATTCACGCAGTGGAGTAGTTTTCAAAAGGGCATTGGAGTCACTCTAGCTTTTGATGATACTTTAATTTAATGTTACATATCACATAGCCAGGTGTGGTGGTGCACACTTATCATCCCAGGGCTCGGGGAGGCTGACGCGGGAGGATCTCCATGAGTTCAAGGCCAGCCTGGGCTACATAGTAAGGTCAAGGCTAGCCTGAACTGCATAGTGAGACTGTGTCTCAAAAAAAACCAAAAAAAAATTCATATATCACAAATTGTATCTCAAGTATTTTAAAGCTCTTCCCTGCTAATCTTATTGTTTACCATGCACCCTTGTTATTGCAGTCTTTATATAACTGCATTAGTGTATAAAAACAGTGGATGATTCTGTGTGATGTTCTAGCTAGTACCTTACTCTACAGATTCAACACATATACAGTAGCTGTGTGTGTGCTAACATTCATGGAAAGAAAGTGAGGCTCTGTAAACTTTAGTCCAAATAACATTAGTCCTATGAAAGGAGCCTACAAGATATGTTACAGTACAAATCAAACTTGCTTGGTTTCTGTTTGCTTTTTAGTGGGAGCCCACATTGATTTTTGCTGTCATTTAAAAAGAGGAAATACTAAACCGGGAGTTTCTCCTACTTATGAGCTTGTGAAATTCATCCTGACGCTCCGAGATATTTGCAGCAGTAAGTGATTCACCTCATCGTCTCCAAATAATGTTCAAGAGTTATGTAGCCTGCCTTTCTGACCTAAATGTTGCCTAACTCTTGGTCATCACAAACTCTGATGTCACTGTGATCACAGCTTGTGGTTACTCATATTAGACATTAACAAATTCATAGTGAAATTTACAAGGTGGGGCTTACATAGAAACACGGGGGATTAAGATGATGAACGGCGATCTCTCCTTTTAGAAAATGAGGAAATAATGGTTAAAGTTTAAAAGAGGAGTTTAAGGCATAGCCAAGCTCAAGTGAGAGAGAACACCACGTGTACCGGAAATTGAGAGATGAAGCAGCAGCACGGTAATCGTAAAGAAGTGAATTCCACGGATGGGTTTTTAATCAAGCAGAGACTCCCTTGGCTGGGATCCGGAATTCCTACTCCCTCTCAAGGACCAGTACAGAAAACTTAGAGGTGACTTTTTAAAGTCCTGTCCACTGGCCTAGAGGAAGAGTAAATTTGTCATCTCTCCAGAAATTTGGCTGGACAGAGAAATGTGCCATTTAGAGTAAGTCAAAATTCAAGCTTGTGTCACGTGTGGATATCAGGCTGAGAACTGAAGGCTGAAAAAATAACAAATTAATTAAAGCTAATGAGTGTGTGGGGCCACAAAAGTCTGCGGCTTGAATCAGAGATGAGTGGCTCGAATAGCTTGCAACTGTGTGAAAAGATGCTCCAACTAACCAAGAAGCAAAGAAAGAAAATTTAAAAACTGATGAGGTGGGCTTCTAGTCAGTACGCTCTGCCAGCCAGAATGGCACATGTCAGTGCCAGTGAACGACACAGGCGAAGCAAATGAATAAGTAAATACTGAAAATTAGTCCACACAGAGTTTAGCTAATATATTTCTTATGCTTCTTGGAAATTAAAGGCCAGACACCTTTTAAAAAATCTTAGACACCCACACATGCACACACACACACAGACACACACACAAACTGTTAGTATCCATGTGGCTTACGTAAAAGATAGGCTTTAGATTTCTTTTGGACACTAACGTGTCCATCCACAGGGTAGTAACGGATGACTGAAACCAATGTGAATGCACAGCTGATTCCCAGTAATGACATCTCCATGTTTTGGCGGAGACCAATGGGGGAGGTTGGCTGGAAAGGAAGGAAGACAGGGAAAATCGCATGGCTCAGAATTTTGAAAATTACCAGCGGGCTGGTAAACAGTACTCTTACGGGGCAGATGTCTTAAAGAAAAACCTGGTACTGGTCAATTATACTGTCGCTTGTGTGCCCATCTCTTTTAGAGTCTTTCGTATTTTTTGGTGGCTTTGCTCCCAACTGCTTCTGCTTTGAGTCTGCTGCCACGAAATTCCCGGCGGAAGATCGCTTTCTTCTTGTGGGATCTGTTTGTGTCATCAATACTGTGATCCTAAAGGTGAGTACACTGTGTGCCTCCCCACTGTGGTCACCAGGGCTTCCTTAGCAGGGCATGTCCTCTTCTGTCTCTCAGCCACTGGACAGGAAAGGTCCGCACCTTGTGTTTCAGACAGTGGGCATCTCCACAGAGTGCCAGACACTCTTAGAGGGAACACACTGTCGTTTACAAATGATTTTGATGCGCTATAAAATAAGCGTGTGCTGGATCTGGCCCCTGATCAGAAGTGAACGTTCTAGGAGGTAGCCAAAGAAAGGTTTCTGTTATAAAGTTTGAAGTGACTCTTTTTTTCTCATTGGCTAATTGACTGTAAAGGTTCTTGCTCTCTTAATGTTCTTCTAATTTGTCACTCACAAATTTTATCTCTCAAAAGGAAAGGCCGTCTTTAGACTCCATCTGACAGCTTCAGGATCAATTAACTTATTCATTCAGTAACATATTTAGCAAACACCTGGTATGTTTCAGGTACTGGAACATGCCAAGGAACCCTTAAGGCTGAGAGATAATAGTTACTTATACTGACAAGCGCCGTGGAGATGAGAAAATGAATAATGTGCTAATGACTGATGACATTAGGGAGCTTGGAGAGGGCTCAGGGAAAGTCTCCTTCTGATGATTTGTGTTTCGGGTAGAGACTCCCAAGGATGATAAGAAATGAAGGCAGTCTGGGCAGAGAGTGCAGCAGCTGGAAAAGCCCTGAGGAAGTAACTGGCTTGGAGGGTTAAAAGGCGCAGAGTAGGGTGTATGACTAGAGTGAGGTGAAAGAAGAAAGACATAGTGATACAAAACAGAGTCCAAGAGGCAGGCACGGGCCCAATTACGGAGAACTTTGAGATCCAGATGAATGTACACGAGTGTTACCCAGAGTGCACTAGGAGGCTGGGGGATGGCATGATCCGGTCTCATTTTCGAAAGATCAGGCTGGCGGGTGGAGTACAGAGAAACAAGAACAGGAGCGGGAAGATGCGTGTGAGAGGCATTCCAGGACATGGCAGATTCCGCAAGGTGTGAAGCCTCACTCAGGAGCTCTGTTCGGACCAACTGACAACACTGTTCACACCGTGACAACACTGCTATTACAGAGCAGCAGTCACCATGGTTGTCACTGTTGCCATCAGAGCGCGGCTAGTTAGCCTTAGTTTGCAGAGAGATCACTTGCTCTGCACTGCTTTGCAAGTCTGGTTTAAGATGTGAACTTTCCTGAGCACATTTCAGAAACTGTGAATGTTATGGGCCATTCAGGTTTCCAAACTTAGGTTCTTCTGCTCAACGCTGGCTAAATCAAAGGAGGCCGTGCAAATTGGTAAAAATGAAGAAGGGATTTATTTGAAGCTTGCTCCAAAGAGAGGGAGGGGCCCATGTGCCTCACATCACCACCATCGCACCGTCTGGAGGTGGGCTAGGGATACAGAGGAGGGATACTGCAGACCCCCAGCATTAGCACTTTCGGCCCATTGTCCCCCTTCTTGTGGAAAGGAAACTGGGCTCTGAGCTTTTCGGTGTCAGCATCTGCATATTCTGTTCATTCATCTGTGCTGAGAGAGGTGTGGGAAACTGTACATCCTAGGCCTCAGGAAGCACTTGTCTCTAAAGGAAAAAGTTAACTTTTATTAAAGTTTCACTTTGCTGTGCTGGTTACACCGAGAGTGTCCTTATATTCAGTGTTAGACCAGTGGTGTACACCATCATTTCTCCAAATTGAGCAAGAGAAAAGCGGTATAGAGAAAAACCACCGAAGGCAGTGAGATGATGGAATTGCCTGTCCTTATTCCTTCTCCCCAACACCCTGGGATTTGCATTCTTTTCTCTGCCACAAGAGCGTACTTGTAGGCATCCCAGTTCAGGGCTCAACCCCAATACCCACTTCCTGTGTCTTACGTGTTCCCCTCATTTGTTATCTATCCCAGTTTCTCTCTGGGTTTCTAGGACATCTGTCTCATATTAGAGCGTCGTTGGAAGAACAGGTCTCATGAGGACAGAGGTTTGATGAGCAGAAGATTATACTAGTGTGACTGCAGCACAGTGAGAAGTGCAGCGAGTCAGAGTTGAGACTTGGAAATTCTGCTCCCAGATCTAATAGCTCTATGTCCTGAGCCAAATCATTGCGTCTCTATTATCCTCAGTTTTCGTATCTGTAAAATCCAGTCTTTCTCACTTTGCTGCGCTGACTGATTGTGATTTTGGCTATAAAGATGCTTCCAACATGAACATATGCTATAAATGTCAGGTACTTTTACTGTAAAATACATTCAAGTGCCCAAAATATGCCTTTTTTTCTGCAGGAACTCTGCAGTGCAAACCAATTACATGAGAATTCGATTAACCACGAGTCAGATGAGGAAGATTCTTTGGGCATCCACAGGTAAGGGATAGTGTTGAGATGCATAATGGGAAACTGGAATACATTTTTGCTAAATAAAACTAAAACAAGGAGAAGAATATCTACAGATATTTTCCCCTTCAAAGTGAAGAGAACACAGATGACCATTCTGCTGGTCAGAATGCACTTTCCTACTTAATGTCAGAATGCACTTTCCTACTTAATGTAATTCATATTCTTCCAACAGAATATAAATGCAGGTGATTTGACTTTTTCTTTTAAAAAGCAGAAAAAAAACAAACAGCAAATTTAATTGATATAAACATTAATGACTTTCAAATGAAGGTAATTCCTTTAAAGTAATACTACTTTTTCTTGAAAGTAAAGGTAATATTTAAAGAATAGCAGCCAATAGTTCGTTATTTCGAGTAGGAAAAATGAGCATGCACTCCTAACCTACAGGAAAATGTTGGCCAGCTTGGCAAGTATCACTAAGCCCCTATTATATACCCATTTAACAACCACCAAGGGCCTCTGCAACATATGCATTCTTTATAATACTATTTAGATATTTAACACTTGCTAAACTTACTAGTAGTATGTTTGTATGTGGAAAGGCATGGTAACAATGTTGGGAATATTACATTTTCCTCTTGCTTTTTAATGTACATATGCTGGCAAGTAAATAATGCTATAAAACGCTAAACATGTGTACTCCATGCCAGTAATACTCAGCAAAATAAAATAAGCAAACACGAGGACTTTGTGAGAGATTCTGATGACTGAAGGCATGCTTGCGTGGGGTATGCCTGTGAGAGGGTGTTGCTACTGTTACTATATAGGGGCGAGAGGAGCTAAGGACCCAGAGTTGGTGAAAGAATGAATGCGACAGGAAATAGTTGAGGGTCATCCATGCCCAGGGCTGAGGGAGGTGGGGATAATCTTCCCCTTCCAGTGAGAGAATTCCTAAGTGTTTGGCTGTGAACTAGGGTCTGCAGCTACACGCAGAGCAGAGGGAGGAGGAGGAGAACTCACAGCAGCTGGCTGCTCACACCCACTTTGCTTGGGTAAAAGCCACTGGCAACACAAGGGTGCGCTTGGAACTCTGTGGAATGTGATGTCTGCTCATGCCATGCCATCATCTTTCATTTCTACCAGTGTGCTTCCCACTCCTTTTTTTAAGAATCTAAAATTTCTTGTACAATTTTTCAGCATTTTATTTGCGGGTTCAAATCATTCTAAATTTTTACTTTTATTAGTCCATGTTTGCAGAACATAATGCTCACTTTCCTCGTGGGGAGTTGGTGCGTGTGCAGACCACATCTTCGTTCTCTTTTCCCCCCATTCTCCTCCATTCCCTCCGTCTCTTGGCCTCCTTCCTAGTTACAAAAGTTGTCTCTGTGTTTCTTATTATCTAGCTTTTATTTTGCTGCTTATTTATACTTTGAGTTTCTCATATAAAAGAAACCATGTGATATTTAAGCTCCTGTGTCTGATTCATTTTACTTAGCATGGTGGTCTCGAGGTGCATCCATTTTCCTACAAATAACTCAAATTTATCCTTCTTGATGGCAGAGTAGTTCTGCGTATAAGTCCCCATTTTCTTTATCCATTCATCTGTTGATAGACATTTAAGCTGAGATTCAATCCTTAAGATTTCCAATCATTCAAGTCTCTTTAATGCTCTTCACCACCTCCAGTTTAGAACATGGACTTCAATAGGCTTCCTAGGTTTTCCCATTTCCTCCAGGAAGTCTGTTACTTTATTAGAAGACCTTCTGTTGAATTGTGCAGGGAAGAAGATAGCTACAGAATATAACATGTTTTAGTTACCTGAACTGAAGATACTGCTCTATTAGGAGAGCTGACAAGATACAATAACCGAGCACCAACATCCCCTTGCTTAGGCCTGCGTGCCTTAAACACATCCTTGCATGCACTCTAAAGCACATTTATTTAGTAAGTTTGAGAAACAACCTGTATGTAAAAAGATTGGTATAGGATTGTAGCCAGTATTCACATAGTGAAAGTTCATAGAGCAGAGACCAGTATTTTATTTTAGAGCTCAATCAAATGAAAAATATTAGGGTGCAGAAGGAAGTCAGATGTGACATCTGTGAGGCTGATTTTCATGGACTATATAAGAAAAACATTTTCTGAAGCCTTGAAATTATATTCTTTCTAAACCTTGTTCCTCTAGTCCTAGGCACTTGGGAGAATAGTTGATACAGAATAGGTGTGAAGATCAGTATAAGGACATCAGATCTATATGTTCTATAAAATATCATGCAAAGGCAAATTATTAATTAGGAAGTTCTTTTAAATATGGATTAATTATATTTTAAAACTATGCTAAGGGCTGGGGATATGGCTCAGTGGCACAAGTTCTTCCCTGGCAAGCACAAGGTCCTGAGATTGATTCCCAGTACAAAAAAAAACCCAAACTATGCTAACCATTATATTTAAAAATGATTAAGATGTGATACATATATATGTATCAGTTCCCCAAAATTAATGACATTACTATGCATTGCAAACACACCAATAAATTTTTTAAAACTATGTTAAATCCTTATAGATCTATAAAGACTTTATTAAGTATAAAATTTTACATGTGAACATAAGAGATAGTCATGATCTGAAATCTGTGTCTGATAATTGTGACATTCCTTTCATTTTCCCATTAATTTAAGGTAGTTCTTTTTCTGCTTAAAGCAACACCTTTTAAACCTCCACACTTAGAAGGTGGGATTGTGTCAGTTAGTGCCCAGGTGAGTGGTGGCGAACCTATGGCACGCGTGCGGCAGTGGGCTGCTTGTATCATTGAAAGCTCTTAAAAAGTTCACCATCACTGACCTGAGTTAGTCCATGAAAAGTGTCCGTCCTCTGGCTGAATGTGCCCCACAAGCTGGGGATCTCATCCTGTGGAGCCTGGGCTGCAGCCTTCCCTGGCAAGGAGACACGGACTCACATGCTTGTGCCTGGTGGTGACAAATAAGGAGTTGGAGCCAGCCTCTTGATTTCCGTTCCGTTTATCACATTAGTATGTGCAGGAGCTGGTCCTTCAAAAAGACAAACTTCAAAAGACATAGGTAGAAGAAAGGAGAGCTGTTTCAGAGTCCTGGCTTTTATATTTGATTTTATTTACAGGACTCCTAGCAAATCCATATTCCGTCTTTAGTTACCTGACAAATTATTTTGATCATCTAAAAGCATAAAATCATCAGACTATTAGAGTGGAGATCGATAATAGCAATTTACTAATACTTTCTGGAAAGCTCTCTGTAAGGGTTTATACTCAGAACTCATTGAAGCAACACTGAAATCACTGAGTAGTTGACACACTAATGAAAATAACGAAGTTTAGAAAAATCTAGAACAAATTATTAGAAATACTAGCTAGCCTATTGTATACAAGGTAATTTTGAATAAATATCCTGGATGCTGCTTGTTCTAGTCAGATAAGTAAAACTGATTTTTTTCCTCATCATGTTCATTTGTTACCCTGTAATCAAGATAGCAGGCTTTCATTTTAGTCGTGTAAAGAAGCAGAGCAAGATCTAACAACCTTACTTTTGAACTTAATGGTTTTTGCATTGCCTTTTTCTTATCTTGCCTTATTTTTCATTAGCTCCATTATTTTGTTTTGTTTTCTTACTTTTCATTGGAATTTGACAGGAACTACCATATTTCTCTTCCTTACCCAGACTCATAATTGATTACATTTTGCCAAGTTTTGCTTTCTTTTCCTGTCTTTTCTCTTCCCTTTCTCTTTTCCTACCTTCTCTATTTTTCTTTCTCCCCGCCCCCGCCCATTATGTATGTGTGTACAGTTTTTTATGGACCTTGTAGATATCATATCTCTTATCTAAAATACTTCTGTGCATTATTTCTGAACAAGGGTATTCTATTTTATAGTCAGCATGATTATGAAATCAAGAATTTTAGTATTTATAGAATTCTATTATTTAATCCAGAGTCCCTGCTCAAATTGTATTATGTGGGCCACTAATGGCCTTTATTGCTATTTTCTTCTTGATACAGGGTTCAAGTCAGGATCATACATAACATTTACATACCTCTTTGGACACTTACATGGAACAGTTTCCCAGACTTCTTTTGACTTTGTTGACTTTGATATTTATGGACAGTGCCAATTACATATTTGAAAAATGTCCTTCTGTTTGGGTTTGTCTGATATTTCCTCTTGATGGCATTCGAGGTGTGCATTTTGTCAGGAATACCACAGAAGCAATGTCCTCTTCACAGTACCTCACAGCAAACAGCGCATGATGTTAATGTTTCTTGTTATGCTGATGTTAGCAATGATCGCATGAATAAACAGGTGTCCTCCAAGTTTCTTCACTGTAAACTTCTCCCTTTGTAAATTATGAGTAATTTATTAGAAATACACAAAGACTAGTCATGCTGATTGTGACTCGTGTGCTATTGCTTCTGAGTGCTTCCAGGCCTGGGAAACAAATACACATATAAATGCCTACATACAAAAACACTCATTTGTTTCTATATCTGCCCTTTCATGTGTATGTGCACCTTTGTGTATGTGTGTAGATAAAACACACCATGCCTTCATACTGATGGTGTGTGTGTCTGTGTGTGTGTGTGTGTGTGTGTGTGTGTGTGTGTGTGACCAAGGATTGAACCTAAGGCCTTCCTACTGAGATACATATCCAGCCCTATTTTTTTTTATTTTGAGGCAGGGTCTCTGTAAGTCACGACGTTGCCTAGGCTTTGCTTGAACATGAGCTCTCCTGCTTCAGCCTCCCAGAGTGCTGATACTACAGGCCTGCACCCCCACGCCCAGCTCAGAGAGATATTTCTAACTCTAAACCACAGTGTTCATTTTAATCTTCCTGTTTCCATATTTGTAGCATCTGCTCCAGTCCCAGAAGCCTCTTCCCGCTAATCTCAATAGTTATTCACTTGCTCAAACATTGAATGAATAGAAAGTTGTCTTAAGGTTGCCATGTCATTGGGAATGAAAACCTTCAAAATTGAATACAATATTATTTACAGTAGTT